CTGCCGCCAGTAGCTCTTGACAATTTGCGGTGCACACTTCGATGTCTTGCGGACTCATCTTTCTCCGCCTCTGGTATACGGGCACTTCGCTCGTCAGTGGCAGGTGCATGGTGCTTACTGTGCACTTTCCCAACTCTTGTAGACTGTGAGCGAACACCGCTGCATGCTGTCGCAGAACCGCCTCCAGCCGTATCGCCGCTGTTCCCTGCAGAGCCGAGCCGATGTTCCAGGTGTGGTCTCTCTCCACTACTTCCCTTGCGACCTGTCCTTCTCCGCCCGTCGCCGCTTGTGGTACTGGCTGTCCTTCCCTGTCTGCTGCCTCGGTCGCTTCACCTTCCACCCCTTCTCTGGCTTCTTCGATTTGCCCTTCCCCGCCTTCGCTCATCAGCACCATATACGCCCTCCCCGGGCCCAGAAACACCTCGTCGGGGTCGGGGATCCACAAGTCCGTAGGGTCTTTCCTCTCTTCACTATCCCAATCCATCTCGGGCTCCCCCCATTCTTCCGCGTCTTCTTCCTCCTCTTCTTGGTCCGGGTACCTCCCTGGAACTCCATCCCTATCGGACATCCTCTCCATCCTCCTCTCAACCGGCACCCCCGTTCGCCGCTCCTCTCTAGCTTCTTGCTCCAGGAGGTTTAGGAACAACTCAGCTTCCTGCTGCTTTCTTTCATCTTCCTCGGTCTTCGGATCTGCATTCTCGGCGTGATCCTTCCTCTTCTCCAGCCGTCTCTTCTCTAGGTGTCGATGCATGACTCCCACCAGCCAGTGCAGTGCGTTCAGGTCCATTGCATTGCCCAGTGCTCTTTTCCTTTGCTGCTCTGTCACGTCGCCACTCGCCGTCGCCCCTGCCATGAATCCCATCGCCAATTCCCGCTCCAGGGCCGACGTTTCCTCCCAAATTCCCTTCAGGCTGTCGAACACCATCCCCGGACCCTCTCTGCCCCCTTCCATCTTGAACCCCCTTGCCTGATCATGCGCCACCAGTGTGGGCCATGCCTGCCGAGGCTTGGCCACGGTGTTACAAGGGAACTGGGTCTCGTGGTCGGGGTGCCTCACTGGCGCTAGAGTTCTCGCTGGCTCTAGGATGTCTTGGACCAGACGGGCACGTGGCCGCTCCATCATTGACAGCTCGTATTGCAGTGCTGTCTCCAACACTATGTTCTGACAATACCGGCGGGGCTTGTGCGCCCTGCTCCCATTCTGTGCCGCATCCCATGCAACGCCTGCCCCCAGCTCTGCCCTGATCTCTTCTTCTGCCTCCTTCACCGCTTCTCGCATGCATCTCGCGTATCTACATTCTCCACTATGTAGGCCACCTCTCCTTGCTTCCTCTTGATCATTTTCAATACTCGCACCAGCTCTCTAAACAGCCCGCTTCTGGGGTCCTCCATCCCCCTTCCTTCCCCTGCCCGCGACAGGCCTTGGCACTCCCATCCCGCAATCACCAGATCCACGTGCCCCCAGTGGGCCAGCGCGTCCTCCTTCACATCCTCCACCCTGTGGCACACCCACTCTGCCCCCTTCTCGACAGCGTCAGCGTACAGCTGAGACGGGTACCGTTCTTCCAGTTTCTTGATGTGATGCCAAGCCATGCAGTCCACCACCTCATCATTCTCTATGTAGATATACTTTTTCACCCTCAGCCCTGCCTTCAGCACAGCAGCTAATCCGGTACTGATGCCCCCAAACAGCTCCAGCAACACTATGGGCTTGTGGAACACCCCTCCGTCCATGTGCAACTCCTTTAGCCGACCACTCTCACCCCAATGCCGACGATGCCAGTCGCTGTGCCTTTGTTCGTCATCTAGCCTTTCCCAGCTGAGAGTTCCCAGTTCTTCCTCCACAGTTATGATCTTTGCCTGGTAAGCCTCCCGTGGCTCTCGGCGGATGAATCGGACTGGCAGCTCCGCCACTGGCCTGTTCTTCTCCAAGTACTCCACTCGGTACGTGAGCTTTTCTTCCCACATGCATATAGTGGCACCGATGCTTTACAAAAATTCCACTCCCATCAACAGATCGTAGTCTCTTGAGGGCGAGATTCCGCACTGCAGCTTCACTGAACACTCCTCTGGGTTCCCCTGCCGAATGTAGATCTCTACGGTACTTTTGGTCTTCGGCATCCACTTGGTACCTCCTCCCTCGGCCGTCATTAGCAGCAGCCCTTCTTCTATCTGCCGCTCCGGATGGTCCAGCTACAGCTGCTGGGCGAGTCTTCTTCCGATCAGTACTGGGTGGGCCCCTGTATCTATGATCGCCTGCTTCACCGACACCCCTCCCACTGTTGTGTACCCCTTCTCACACCAGAACGGACGCGGCACAGCTTAGCCTTTCCAGTGGGTGATGGCGCGGAGGATGCGGGCCCTCTTCCCCCGCTTCTGCCCTCCTCCTGGGACCAGCTTTCCTCCTCAACTCCATGCGCGGCCGCATATTTCTTTCCCGCGTCCTCAGACCCAGCTCCTCCCTCTCCCTCGCAGGCCATGCCATCAGACAGAAATCTTCCTCACTGCTCTCCTCCTCTTCCTTCCTCGCCACCATGGCCGGTTTCTTCTCACCCCCGGGCTCTTGTCCCTCCAGCTGAGCTCTCAGCCTCTCGATTTCTGCTCTCGTTTCCGCCACCTCGCTCCTCTCGCGGCTGTCTCCACGTCTTTCTCCCCTTCGCGAGTAGCATTCCTTCTCTACATGCCCCCTTCTTCCGCACTTCCCACACACTGGCGCCTCAGGGCAGTCGCGCCTCTGATGCTCCTCCTGCCCACAGATAGAGCACGCAGGCGGGTTCCTGCAGTCGCGCCTCAGGTGTCCCGTCTGCCCGCAGTTGTGGCATTTGCGAGAGTCCCCAGGGCCTCTCGGCGGTCGCTCCCTGTCTTCTGGAGCTGCACTCCATGCGGGTCGTCTGCGCTCTGTCGATCGTTCCGCTGTGCGTTCCACCTCAAACAGCCTCCCGGTCTCCACCCTCTTCGCCGTTTCATACGCTACGCCCAGCGTCGCCGCCGCTCCCATCTCAAAGATCTTCACCTGCACGACCCATTGGAGCTCGTAATTCAGACTGTTGAGAAACTTGTTGACAAGACGCCCTTGATCCACACAGTTCATGTCCTCGGCCAACTCCACCAGCCGGCCGTAATACGCGAGCAATGACTCCCCAGATCTGCGCTTGAACTCGCGGAATTCAATCACCCGTTCTGGCGTCTGCAGCGGGAACTGCTCTCTCAGCATCTCCAAGAAGCGTTTGGTGGGATCTCTTTCCCCCGGTCGAGCCAGAGCCGCCCAATCCAGCAGTTCGCGCCGGCATATGCGATAATACGTCTTGGCTTCTCACGTTAGCGTATTCGCCAACCCTCGGAAGAACTCGTCCGCATCCAGCCGATCGCGCTCCCATCTTGCTCGCAGATTTTCCAATTGCATCAGATAGTTCTTCAGCGACGGTCCTCGTCGGACTTCTCCCGAAAAGCGCTCTGGCACTTCCACCTTCGGAAGAATGGTGTAGCGCCAGCGGGTCGACGCCGCATCGTCTTCAAAGCCCTGCCATGACGCACTTCGCCGATACGGCTTGTCGCCTCCCCGTTCTGCTTGTGCCGCCGCCACTGCCTCTCCGAGGGGCGTCCTTCCCCTCTCCTCCTTAGCTCCTTCCTTCTCCGCAAGAGGCTGCTCATCGCGCTTCTCTCTCGAGCCCGTGGCTCCGCTCGGCCTTTCTTCGCCCTTTCCTTCCGCGTCGTGCGCGTTCGTCCTTGTTCGTGGCGCACGTTCGTTCCCTTCTACACCCTCTGTCATCTCGCCTTCTTTATTGAGATTCTTTGCTGCGAAATCTGATCCTGACCGCGTGGGCATAACCTGAATGCTTGTATGTGATAAGCTCTTGCTCCCTCATATAACACACTGTCTATCTACTCATCACATCTCTGCTTGCAATATCTCCTTCTTCTCATACTTGCTCGTCGAGTGCAAGAATATCGTGTTTACAAAGGCAACATACAAGCATTGAGGCTAGCTCTCCCAGGTTCCTCCTAATCTACCAGCTCTGGCTCCGCCTATGCCTGGCCTCCCCTAGTCACCTCGCTAGCTGCTATTGCTACCTTTGAGATAACTGCCATCCGTGCTGCCTGCCTCATCTGTCCCCCGCCTCTAACTACTGTACCTCCAGCTGCCACTGCACAGATCCAGCTGGCTCCTGGGAGCTTGCCTGCACACACAGGAAAACAAACACACATGCATGCTCACACCCATCCATGTGCCGGTGATGAGTCCCTCCTGCCACTACCGCTGCTGCCTGCGCTGTAATTCCCACTTCCTTCTTCCTTCTTACGTAAGTGCCGCCCCACACTCCTGCCATGCACTCCCGGACCCTTCGCTCCGACAGACGTCACCCTCCCCGTGCCCCTTCGACTCCCTGTTTCCTACGATCACCACTCTGACCCTTCGCATTCCATCCTCGGCACTGCGCAGCTCGCTATGTATAGTATATACACTTTGTACAACCACCCTTCTCTCTCCGCTAACCCTTTTACAAATGTGACACAATCATGGCCTTGTTGTCGACGTACAGAACTGGAGGAGAATGAGGCGGCTCTTCCAAGTCGGTCAGCAGGTAGGTGAGCCAACGTAGATCCTGTGCAGCCATGGCTCCTGCGTATATCTCAGCCTCGCAATTGGAGCTGAGAACAGAAGACGAGCGGGTAGACCGCCACGAAACAGAGCCGGAACCAAGGCTAAAAGTGTAACCCTGTGACGACCGCTGCGTAGCCAAGTCGTCAACCCAAGAAGCGTATGCGTGACCAGTGAGGACAACTCGAGCCCGTCCTCCAAGCACGAGCCCCATGCCCGATGTACTGCACAAGTAGCGCAACACCCTCTTAGCTGCATCCATGTGCTCTGGTCGGTGTCTCCTAGGAGCAACATAGCGTGCCAAGATGCTAAGAGGTAGGCAAGGTCAGGACGAGTGCAGGTCATCAGGTACATGAGGCAGCCCACAAGCTCTGGATACGGGCCACTTGGCTCCATGGACTCATCCGAAGGCAGAGCTGAGAGCGAGTGGCGAGTAGGCAGAGGAGTGGACTTGGACGAGGAGTACGTGAAGCCGAAGCGCTGAAGGACCTGCTGCACCATGATTCAAGGTAATGGTGCGCCATGCTCTGTCCCAGGTGATCTGCAAGCCAAGATAGCTGCGCAGTTCACCCAGGTCTGTGCACGTGTGTCTCTTCTGCAGCTCCGACTTCACATGGGCGGGTCCTTCAGTGTCAGCAGTGGCAAAGACCAAGTCGTCAACGTACACGAGGATGTAGAACGGCGGGAGAGTAGTGTCGGTGCGTAGAAACAGCGACGGGTCAGCAGTAGGAGTAAACCCAAGAGCCGCAAGTGTCGTCCTCAATGTGTCGTGCCACTCACGAGGCGCCTGGCGGAGACCGTAGACTGGCCGCCGGAGGCTCCACTGGGTACCAGGAGGAAACGACCCAGTGAAGCCAGGTGGGCGGCGCAGCCAGATCTCCTCGTGCAGGCTGCCCTGTAGGAAGGCTGTGCTGAAGTCAAGAGAGTAAAGCTCGTAGTCACGCTGAGCAGCGACGTGCAGCAGCACCCAAAGAGTGGTCATCTTCGGGGTAGGGGAGAAGGTCTGGAAGAAATCAACTCCCTGTCGCTGACTGAAGCCTCGTGCAACGTAACGCGCCTTGAAGAAAGGCGGAGAACCCGGCGGCCGCTTCACCCTGAAAATCCACATGCCATCGACAATGTTCGCCCCAAATGGGGGAACCTCGTCAACGTAAGTGCCTGTGGACTTCCAAAAGGCCATCTCTGCATCCATGGTTGTCTGCCACTGAGAGGAGTAGGGACCCTCTATCGCCTCTACGTAAGAGCGCGGGGTCGGGATGTCTGGTGCATCCGGGTCTCCCTCAGAGGCAAGCAGCATGGACACGAGATGAGGTAAAGCAGCAACAAAACACTGGAACTCCTCCTGCCTGTCCTCAATGACGTCCGTGCTAAGAGCACACTCACCCCCGACGGACGGAGGACAGACAGACTCAGACTCAGCAACAAGACTAGCGGCGTAGTCTAGACGACAGTGGGCAGCAAAGTCGACAAGCTCAGCAACAAGAGCCGACGCAGCAGTAGACTCAAAAGAAGGGTCAGTGACAACAGTGGCCAGGAGACACGTGACAGTAGGACTAGCAGCACGAAGGGAGTCAGACTCCGAGTCCGGACCGACAGCAAGGGAGGACGCAGGAGGAGACGGAAGAGGGACACCTGCGGAGCAGTGGAAGGACGCAGTGCCATCTGGTGCGTGCCGGGGACAGGAGGGGGACGCTGACGCGGAACACGACGACCAGTGCGAGCAGCGGGAACAGGCGACGTAGGGCGAGACGCAGGCTCACGACGCTCAGCAAGACCTCCGATCGGACCAGTTTAAGGAGAAGGAGCAGGCAGTGGGGATGCGGGCTGTAACTGCGACTGTGACTGGACAGGCGGTGGACACTCTAATGAAGGAGCAGGACCAGTAGAAGGCGGGAGACCAAGAACCTGCTGAAGGAGCGGAACGAAGTATGGCCGCGGCCGCGCAGCGCCTCCAGAAGCAGCAGAGACAACACCAGCACCCCCAGCGTCAGCTCCAACTCCTGCTGCACCACCAGCAGCTCCAGCAGCGCCAACTCCAGAACCCCCAGGAGCACCAGCTCCAGCAGCACCGCCAACTCCAGCACCCCCAGGAGCACCAGCTCCAGCAGCACCGCCAGCTCCAGCACCTCCAACAGCACCTGCCCCAGCAGCACCGCCAGCTCCAGCACCACCAGCTCCAGCAGCACGGCTCCAGCGCCGAGCAAACCACTCGCGCAACTGCTGTGGAGAGAGTGGCTCCCGCCGGGACGAGGCACCCAAACTCAGCACCCCCAGGCTCCACACGCACAGGCTCAGTACCCTCAGACTCCGCACCCTCAGACTCAGCAACCCCAGGCTCAGCACCCCCAGGCTCAACACCCCCAGGCTCAGTACCCCCAGGCTCCGTACGCTCAGGCTCAGCACCCCCAGGCTCAGCACCCCCAGACTCCGCACCCCCTGGCTCAGCACCCCCAGACCCGGCACCCACAGGCTCAGCACCCCTAGCAGCACCAGAGTCAACAGCTACCTCGACAGGCTCGACTGCATCTACCTGGGACACACCTGAGGGGGCAGGACCCTGAGGGGGGAGGGGGTCTACCGGGGGAGGACCTGGCGCTAGAAAGAGCGGCGGGGGGGGGGAGGGGGGCAGTGCGTTAGGGGAAGAGACGGTAGTAGGGAACCAACGCGTCAAACGTGACGTCCTGAGAGGACAGAACACAGCACGAGGTGGGGTGGTAAAACTGCCAACCAGGCGCGCCAGGGGGGAAACCAAGGAAGACGCAGGGAACAGCACGGGAGGACAGCTTGTCCGCAAACAAATCGCGGACAAAAGCTCGAGATCCCCAGACACGGAACACAGACGCATCGCCAACCTTCCCCGTTCACCGCAGAATAGGTGTGGTCTCCGGCATGGAGACCCGGGGCTGGAGGTTGAGCTGATGCGCAGCGTACTAAACCGCAAACGGCCACAGAAAATGGGGGGCAGCCGCATGGATCATGGACGTACGAGCGACGTCCATGACCATGCCAATGCGGTGCTCAGCAATCCCATTTTGCTGTGGAGAGGCCGGAAGCGTGAACGTCTGGCGGATAACCTCCGCACGACAGAAGGCCCTCAGAAGGTCTGAGGAAAATTCTCCACTTCTGTCGGAGTGTAGACGCAGAACAGGAAGGTCCGAGCGGAAACTCTCGCTGAGCTGGCGACGGGCAACGCGGATCCAGTCGATCAGCACCTCAGTGACCTCACCCTTGCGGCGCAAGGGGAAGACTGGTGTAATGCGAGTAGTCGTCAACGACCAGCAGAAAGTAACGCTCGTGACCCTGTCCACGGACGCGGGCTGGGCCCCACACGTCCATGTGAAGAGTCTCCAGGGGAGCCTCCGTCGGAGGGAACTCGGAGGAGTGAGGAGCGGCGCGCTGCCGTCCCTCGACGCAAGGAACGCAGGTAGGGGCAGGCCCCGGGGGAAGGGGAGGGAGAGACCGGGGAAGACCAGTGACAAGGAAACGGGAGGTCATACCTCGGAGACGGGGCAAGGAGGGGTGACCAAGGCGGTGGTGCCAGAGGAGAGTCTGGTGGGACAGGATGCGACACGAGCAGGGGGGAGACTCAGGACTAGACTGGGACGCTACAGAAAACACCTGACTAGAAGCAGCTACCTGACCAGACGTAGTAACTGGAGGAGACACGGTAATCAGGGTGTACAGGCTCGACCCAGGCTGACAGGTAAACGTGGCCAAGTGACGGCCCGTCCGAGCACACGTACAGTGGATCACCCTCTGACCTCCAGGAGTGAACTGGTCAACCCACACGTCCTGAAGGTCAGCTCCATTCACTAGGTTCGTGGAAAACGAGGGGAGGTGATGTTATGTGATGCTATCATTTGCATTCACGTCTGTCTGCCTCCCATTATATGTTCGTGCGTTGCATGCGTGGTGTGAGCGTGTGCAAGAGTTTGTGTTTTCTGTGGTTTGGACTTTCTGAGTGTGTGGGAATGTTATTTGGCCTGAGCAGATATCTCAAGTGACTCCTCTGCTCAACAGCTTTCGGACGAACCAAGAATCGTTGCGATCGGAGCAAGAACGAGGAAGTTATGATCGTCCAAAGATATGTTCGCGATGCGACGACTTTGGGAAGTTGTGAAGTGACTCAACATGGGGTACAGACTTTTGGAGGTTGGGAAATTCGTCCCCATCATTGTAGATGCTGCCAAGTTGTTGGGAGAAGCCAAACCAGGCTGGCAATTGTGGCCAAGTTGGTTGAGGTGGATGGCATAGGTTGGGAAAGTGACTAAGGTCAAAGTTGGGGTGCCTATAGAGAGGGGAATTGTGTGGCATGGGGTTTCCTTGGTTGGGGACTCTCTTGGGACCTTCCCTCTCGTCCTCCTCTTCCCTCCCACCTGGTTTCTAGCTACTCAACCTTCTTGTGTGAAACTTGTGAGACTCTTGTGATTGAGTTAAGATTCTTGTGGCAACATACCCCCTAGTGCGCCGAAATTGACAACTCGAGATATACTCCATTATTTGATACGATTCAACTTGGGAAAGATAGCCTTGGTCAAGGGCTACAACATACTCGATTTTTTTAACGGTGCGTTTTTCGTCGACGGCGTTTCTTGTGAAGTCGACAGTTCTGTCCAGAATTATAGTTGACGATTCTGATATATTTCGGCCCCTAATTTTCATAGACTCCGTCCTTAGTCTCTAACAGGTGAAGCCCCGACGGAGAGCCCGACGGGACCGCCGGACACGGCAAGACCGTGGAGGAGTGTGCAAGGACCGGACCCCCAGAGGGGTCAGCCAGGGAGACTGCCACTGGCCGACTGAGCGGCGTGAGCGTGGTGCAGTCGCGAAAGAAGGAACGGGAAGCACCTGAGTCAAGCGTGAAAGTGTGCAAGACCTGAGCCGACGCGGTACCTGAGAGAGCAGACTCACCAGCACCTGAAGCAGCAAACTCACTAGCACCTAGAGCAGCAGCCTCAATGCCCGGGTCGGGAGGAACATACAGGTAACAGTCACCCTCAGCACTAATAGTCACAGCATACATAGCAGCAAGGATAGCATCGTAATCAAGATCAAAGATAGCAACCCCCGACCTAAGCAGATCACCCCAGCGAGGGAGCTCAGTGGCATCAGGAAACTGTGTACTCCAGACGTTAGTCAGGCGGCCGAAACAGCGGTGCGTAGCGCGCGGCAGCCCGCACGTCTCCCCACTGCGCTCGCCGGTGCGGAGAACGTAATCGCAGGGACCAGCACCCCCAGACCTCCCACGCCCAGCGTACCACTCACGAAGCTGCTGGGGCGACGGGGCCTCACGGGAACGCTGCTGCTGCTGGCGCTGGCCACCGCCAAAGCCTACCCGCTGCACAGCTTTTACCCCGACAAGCACCACCGCCGCCGCCACCCCCACTGCCGCTGCCGCCCCCACCCCCACCGCCGCCACCGACGCCCCCACTCCCGCCACCACCCCCACCTCCACCCCCACCCCCTCCGCCTCCTCCACCGCCACCACCGCCGCCCCCGCCGTCCCCTCCACCACCCTTGCCCCCCTTGCCCTTGCCGCTGCGGCGCCTCCCACTAGGAGCAGACGCAGCCCCGACCGACTCAGTGCCAACGAGGTCGACAGCAGCAGCAGAGGCAACAGTGGGCAACGGGGGGACGGGGGAGCACCCCTCAAAGAAAGGGGCACGAGGGTCACCACGAGACGCTCCTACAGCGATTGTGCTCTTCTCAGCTGCAAGGAGGCACTCCTCGAGGAGGTCAACGGTGAGCTAAGTGGGGCAAAGGGAGAGGAAGTGGTCCCTGACTGAGCGAAGGGAGTCAGGGAGCCGAGTGACTAGGTAGAAGAGGGTGATGTACATAGGGGGGGGGGGTTCTTAACGCAAAACTCGGAGGGAAGCGTAGGGCGGTAGCAGGTGGCACTAGTGCGGAGGTGGGTAATGAGGTCAGCGATTGTGGCAAAAGCTGCTAGGTCAGGGAACAGGTACGGCAGCATGAGGCGGCTGAGGGCAGCAGAGGCAGGGGAGGAGTAACGCGCAACAACAGCGTCATATAGAGTCTTAGCAGTCTTGTACTGGCTAAAGTGCGCGCGCTCAGCAGACGGCAGGTGACTACGAACAGCAAGGCGAGCAACAGCATCACGTGTGGTCCACTGGAGCGAACAGCACTGTCAGCATCGGCAGCAGGTGCAACAGAGGCGCCAGACGTGTGATCGAACAGTGAAACTCCGTCTCTAGAGTCGCACTGCAGAAAGAGCTGCAGGTCATTGACCCAGACCTCGAAATCGACCGCTCGACCCTCAGCATCAAAGGTAAGAACACTAGGGCTGGCCATGGCGGCAGTAGCGTTGCAGTAGCAGTAGCTCGAGCAGCGGCAGCAAGTTAGCACTAGCAGCAGTAGCAGTGGCAGCAGTAGCAACAGCAGCAGTAGCACTAGCTGTAGCAGCAGTAGTTGCAGGAGCAACAGTAGCACTAGCTGTACCAGCAGTAGTTGCAGTAGCAGATGCAGTGACAGCTCGGGCTGGGCGGCGCGGCTCGGACAGGGCAGCGTGGCTCGGCAGGGCGGCGCGGCTCGAAATGGGCGGCGCCGCTCGGGCTCAGTAGCGGAGCAGCAGCGGCACGTAGCAGTAGCAGCCGGCGCGCAGCAGCAGTAGGCGCGCGCGGGCTGTAGGCTTGCAAACCAGGGGCGCGCAACAGGTGCGCGTAGGGCAGCTCAAAAGGAGGCTCGCAGCAGGTGCGCGCTAGGGGCTGGCGGGTAGAGCGAGTGGCGCGCGCAGCAGCAGGAGCGAGTAGCTGCAGCAAGTAGCAGTAGCAGCAACAGCAAGGAGGAGCAGCTGCAGCAAGTAGGAGCAGCTGCAGCAAGTAGCAGCAGCAGCAGCAGCAAGGAGGTGTAGCTGCAGCAAGTAGCAGCAGCAGCAGCAGCAAGGAGGAGCAGCTGCAACAAGTAGCAGCAGCAGCAGCAGCAAGGAGGAGCAGCTGCAGCAAGTAGCAGCAGCAGCAGCTCAGGCGCAGTGCAGCGTGCAGGCCTGGCGTGGGCTGTACGGGCCGTGCACGGGCGTGGCGTGGGCTGTACGAGCTGCGCGCAGGCCTGTCGCAGGCTGTACGGGCTGCGCGCGGGCTTGGCGCGGGCTGTACGGGCTGCGCGCGGGCCTGGTGGGGGCTGTACGGGCTGCGCGAAAGGCCTAGTGCAGAATGTACGGGCTGCGCGCGGGCCTGACGCGGGCTGTACGGGCTGCTCGCGGGCTGCGCGCGACAGGACAGGGCAGGGCAGCGGGGCAGCGGGCGGAGCAGCGAAAATCGACGCACCTAAGGGCGCATTTCGGGCAGAAAAATAAAGGAACGCGCCTAGGGTGCGATTCGGGCAGGAACACGGAAGGTTGTAACGGTGGGCCCTTTGAAAAAAAAATAGGTCCTAGGCTAGGAAGGTCCTAGCTCTGATACCATGTTGAAATAGGTAGGAAGGAATGATGATTAGGTTAGAGGGAGGGGGTACAAGACTATTGAGAGAATTGGGTTGTACCCTCTAAGGAATGACCCCTACACAACCTAGAGTGAAATAAACAAAACTATATGTTTTGACATCTGGGACCAACCACAACCGTTCCGTTCCTGAAGCCCGCCAAAAGCCAGAAGCTTACAGTTACAACACGAACCGTAGTCACAGTTAGAAAGGAACAAACTCAGCAGGGCCATTGAAACGGTAGACCGTCCTTTGCACCGTCACAGTGACTGTGTATAGTGCACTCAGAAACCCAAGAAATAATCCATTGAGACAGGCAACCACGAAAATTTCACTCGACAATTTAGCTAGTACACACAGATTAGAACCAAGATTAGCACTAAGAACAAGTCACAACAGATTAGCACCCAGCACAAATGGTAGTCAATATGCCGATGCTGCAATTTTTGAAATATAACCTAGCACTAACAATAGCAAAGGCGAAAAGACGGTAGTGGTGCTCAAAGAAAAAGAGGCTCGGCAATTTTTCGCGCTCGCGCGGAAATATTTTGACGAATCCTGACGCATAGCGTTCTGCCTACCACGCCCATTTCCGAACCAAGACATTTAGCAACTGTGTATATTTTGTTTGTACAGATAGAATACGATTGACAAAATTCAAAGCGCAGGTTCTGAACTTTGTGTATGTGTATGCTTCTGTCATCTCAATGGGGCAAAAATATAGAACCCTTTTGGATAGCATGCGATTCCGAACGAATCAACCCTAAACATCTTACCGGAAGGCTAAAACATGTGGTAAAATAACACAAATTATTCTAGTTCTGCACGCCAAAAACATAATAAACTTTGTTTTAATGCGACTACTATTACCTAATTGTGCAAATATATAGCATGGTTTAGATAAACAAGTAGATGAAAAATAAACCCACTGAGCTCGCATATATTTGCCAAGAAAAAAACCCTAAACAAATTATGCGCAACCATTTTATAGCTCTTTTCGGCTCGCAAAAATAAATTCTTTGTAAGTATCATCTTTTTTCTTGCATGGTTGCGCATCAGCA